AAGTGAAATGAAAATTTCGAGATTATAAGCATTTATGAAATACTAAATCTCCGAGACAGACTCTTTCAATCTAAGACGGCTGGAAAGTTAAAACAAAACCCCGGGTGAGGATCGAACTCACGACCTTCAGATTTCTCCAAGTTGAGGATTATGAGACTGACGCGCTGCCTACTGCGCTACCGAGGCTCGGCGGACAAGAAGAATTTTATATATTGAAACGTCATTCTTTGTTTTAGATTCTGTAAATAACCTTCCTAATAATCCAGTTTTTGAGCCCGTAAAGGGATATTAATTATTTTCAGAAGCCACTTGTCATCCTTTGAGAATAATGAAACACTTTGCGCTCAATTCGATAGAGCGTAATATAAAAATTGGGATTGAATCTTGAAAAAGTTTTTGAAATATGCCTGAAAGGAAGCTAAATTATAAACGAATGAAAACAAACTATTCAACAGAAATTTTAAAATTTGTTAGCCTCATTTAAAAAATTCCGTCTGCCTCAAAAGAACCTTGTTATATTTATATACATAGAATTAATGTTTTTATCATGAAAATTTTTAGTTTGTTTTAAATTCTGTCTTTTCCTTCTCTTACAAGTTCTCTGTTTCTCGATATGTACCTTTTAATAGGTGTCCATACCATCTGTTGCAAAATGTAAGGTTCCACCGAGATTTGAACTCGGATCGCTGGATTCAGAGTCCAGAGTGCTAACCATTACACCATGGAACCCAAACTTCCCATGCCGGGAATCGAACCCGGGCCGCCTGGGTGAAAGCCAGGAATCCTAACCACTAGACCACATGGGAGTCGTTCGGTACGAACAATTGTACGTCTCAATTCCAATTTCTCTCACATTTGCATATCAGCATTTCTATTTTTTTATAAGAGACTTTGGTTTCTATTTTTGTCGAAAGAAACATTTTTTAAGTGGAATATGAGGACACGTAATTGTTTTAGAGAATGTATTATTCCTTTGCACGATATCATTTTCTTCGAGAGGAGAGGAAATTCAACCGAACTTCAAATTTATGATATAAAAAAGCATTTCAAATCTTTAGCTTGGTACTGTGTTTCTTGAAAAGAAAATTTACTATGCAGGGTTTGAATTTTTTCTCATTTTAGTATATATTAGACAATTATAAATATCAATTTACATACCTGTGAAATAAGGTACATCGCACATTAAAATTTACATTTTGAGATTTGATTTTGATTACAGTGGACTTCTAATTGGGGAAATAAAAATAAAAATTTCAAAAGGAAAACATACATGTTTTGTTTATGATGTTAAAAGCAAAAACGAAGTAAACAATTTTCCATTAAAATGGGCGTTGCCCAAATTCAACGATTATTTCAAAATACGCTTTTAGGGCTTCTAAATACCCTAGAGGTTAAAGAGTATTTTTAGAAAGGTTAAAATCTATACAACTTGAAAATGGAACTCAGATTTTATTTCCAACACCCCTTAATACGTCAGGCGAGGAATTTATAACACATTTAAGAGATATTTTAAATGCGTGTATTCTCTAGCTTCTTAAAGGATAGACTGATCCTATATTTATTTCGAATGAACAACAAAACATTTATTGCATTACAATGTCTGACGAAACACATCTTAAGTGCACCTAAATATAATATATAACACACATTTTTGGTCAATTCTCTGACCTTGGCTTCATTCAATCGTGTTGAATCATGGGAAAAATTATTTTTTGGCTTCAGAATTTGAGTACCCTTCACTCTGACACTTGCAATTTATAATCCAAGATCACTTAAATTATAGAACAATTTTTAACAAATGTGAATTTGTATTTTTGATTAAGATTTAGAGTAAATTTAGCTTGTGTTTTAGATAAGATTCCAGTGAAATTAGCTGTAAATAAAGTGCGTTAAAATCCTAAAAATATAATGTTATGTGATATATAAATACATGTATATATATCTCAGAAATAATAGCTTTGTTCATTATTTTTTATTATTTTTTAAAATACAATGGTATGGTTTCTTAAAAAGCTCGTATTTAACGGTAGAATATCTTATTAAAATTATTAATGTATAAGTAATGAATATTTCATCCTTCTATGTTTAACAAAGAAAAAAGCAATGGTTATAATTGTTCGATCATTCGAAAAGTCCTAGGAAATAGGTATCATTCAAGTAATGCTTTCTCAGCTTATGGGTATGTTTTCTCAAGAGCTGAGAAGTGACCAAGTATTAAGATAACATTCTAGCTGTTGTTTCTATCAAAGAATTATTGCTTTTATGAATTGACCAAGACAATTCATGATGACTTTGTTTTACTGGGGTTTCTAAACAGATAATTGTATGCATATACTTCTCTTTGTAAAATCTTCGAGTAACTGTAAAACACATAAACAACTTATTTATATCTAATATATAAAATAGAAGGATTGGAAGTGTGTGCATGGGTTTGTCTTTTTTTTTCGTAATTTTTGCCTGTTTCCTTTAGTTTTTACCTGAATAACGATGAAATCTTTCTCTTACAAATGCACTGTTGGGCATTAAAATTACAACACCAGGAAGGAATGAACTAAGAAAGATCAAAGTTACGTGAAAT